CATTATGCGTGGCATTGGTGGGAGGGGAGACTGACATAATTGGCGGGATTCAGTAAGGCGCATTTTTGCCCACGGACCCTGCAGCTGCAGCAGCCTGAGTGGCGCTTTGCATATGGACGTGTGGATTGTTTTCCTTTTGCGAGGCTTTTTTTACTGGTTGTCATTTTCCGCTCGGATACTGTGCCCGTGGCAGCTGCATTGGCATCAAAAGAGCCGTGTGTGTGTGCGTGTGGAGATTCCTTGATTGAGCGCCTGCCTTACTTCTCTGTTCTGTCGATTGATTGTTCCGTGTGTTGGCCAAACGGTTGACATGACGTGCTGCCGACGGCGGGGTCCACGTGACATGATGTTGCGTCGCGTGCTTCGGCGCGGGTGTGTGATGTCTGCAACAGTCGTTGGGCGGTTGCCTGTTGGGTCGTTGAGGGCGGCGTGGCGACGGGTGCGGATGGACCCGATTGTGTGCCGTGGCTGTTCGTGCGAGGGTGCTGCTGGAGGGAAGAAGGCGGCGGAGCGATGGACTCCCGAAGAGTGTGTGGGCGAGCAGTCATGAAGGTTGTCGAAAGGGAATTCACTGCCCTGTGAGTTGCCGTGTGTGGTGTTGATTATTATTATTATTATTATTATTATTATTATTATTATTATTATTTGCGTGTTGGATGTGGCCGCTGTGGGGGAAAGCCTTGTTTTTGCTTTTTTTTTTTTTTACGCCGGTTTGGCATTCTTTTCTGCGCCGTCATCTCTGTGTTCCTGCCGCACCGTGGCGTCCTCTTTTTTTTCCATTGGGGGGCAGCTGCGGGAGGGTTTTAAAAGCCATGGAGTTCTGCGCCGTGCTGTCCGGTGTTTCATTGTTGACTGTTCTTCCTGCGTGCGCGCGTCACCGATGCTCACGACAACAACCCTCATGTAAACGCCACCCCTTCTCTTCCATGCAGCCGCTGCTGATTTGGGTGTGTGTTCTTCTCATCCTTCTCTCCGTGCCCCTTCCTAGACAGTATGTGTAGCCGTGATGAATGTGATCACTGGCCGCCTGCTGTTGCTATGTGCCCTCTGTGTGCTGTGCTGCGGTGTCTACGGTGTTGGCTGTTCTGAAACAAGTTTAGCTGCTCCGGTTACTGGTGTGTCTGGTAACGGCAATAATCTTCAAAGTGAAAACAAGACCATTGGTAGCACTGGAAGAAACAACAGTAAAACGACTGGCGGCAGCGCGTGGGTGCTGTGAAGGGCGGTCGTGCTTTTTTGCATTTTGCTGGTTGTGTTTTTTGTGTGAACGCTGCTCGGTGTGCGCTGAAGTGTAACGAGTAACGACGCACCCGCCGTGGCTCCTGCTGCTGCTGCTGGTGACCGTCGCTGTGTGTTCCCGGTGCAGTGTTCTTCCATCTCCTGTTCCGTGTGTCTGTGTGCGTGAGTTGTTGTTGTTGGGAGTGACTGCGGCGGGGATGATGATGCCACTCACTGTGGATGGGTGGCGGTGCTTACTCTTTCACCCATATTTTATTGGCTTGTTTTTCTTCATTTCTGTCACTCTCTTACGAAGAAAGCAAACAAGCGCTAAACGCTACCGTGAAGTTCGAAGGCTCTGAAAGGACCAACAACAACAGCACACACACCGCCCACACACACACACATATTTGTATGCACTCACGTGTTGCTGCAGTGAAGGCACCCCGCACACACAACCGTCGCCGCGTGACCGGATCCAGCGGGAGGAGGAGGGAAGGAGGAGAGAGTGAGCCGCAGAGGCCCAACATGTCCCGGCATCACTTCTGTTCCGCGGTGCTGCTTCTCGTCGTGATGATGTGCTGCGGCACTGGTGAAGGTGCACAAGCTGATGAACCACCGCTACCTCGGGAATCTTCACCAAAGCCATATTTTGATTGGAGAGATAAGAATGAAGAAAAAACAGTGAGCTCGCTCCGTGTTCCGAGTCTTGTTGAGTTGGATGGTGATGTGTTTGCCGTTGCCGAGGCGCAGTGCACGAAGGGAGGCAGCGGTTTTACTGGGATTGCCTCGGAGCTCCTGGAGTTGAGTGATGAGTCATCAAAATTGTTGGACATGAGTAAATTGAAGATCCAAGCACCGGATGAATGTCATTTCAAAGATGAGAAATGCACCTATCAAAAACAGGAAGATGCCGTTTCCCAAAGTGACACGAAAGTACATGTGAGCCGACCAACAACAGTTGTGAATAGAAGAGATATTTACATGCTTGCGGGAAAATACACCAGTGAAAGTGCCGCCGCTGCAGTTGCTGCTGCCAATGCAACTGATGGGGTTCAATGGGGACTTTTGCTGGTGAGAGGAAACGTCAGTGTTGAGGAAGGAAAGGACAAAAGAATTTATTGGAGAGATACCTACGGTCTACCGTGGGGTCTTTTTGGCAAACAGGACTCCTTGACAGGACTGATTGGCAGCGGTGGATCGGGCGTTAATATAAATGACGGTACGCTTGTGTTCCCTGTGGAAGGGACGAAGAGGAATAATGGGAAGACCGTTTCGCTGATCATATACTCCTCAGACATTGCGAGTTGGACGCTGTCGAAGGGGATGTCTGGCGATGGCTGCGGTGATCCCTCCGTCGTGGAGTGGAAGGACAAAAAACTCATGATGATGACTGCGTGTGATGATGGCCGCCGCAGGGTGTACGAGTCCGCTGACAAGGGGGAATCGTGGACGGAGGCACTCGGGACACTCTCGCGCGTGTGGGGCAACAAACACAAGGGAACTGCGAAGGGCGTTACAAGCGGGTTCATCACAGCGACGATTGACGGTGTTGATAATAACAGGGATGTGATGCTCGTCACTCTGCCGGTCTACTCCAAAAAAGAGAAAAATGGAAACAACAATGGAAAGAGTGTACTCCATCTTTGGGTTACGGACAATACGCACATTGTTGATATTGGGCCGGTATCCGATGATGAGGACGCTGCCGCCAGCTCCCTGTTGTACAGAAGTGGTAAAGATGGTGATAATAAGAAGGAGGAGTTGATTGCACTGTACGAGAAGAAGAAGGGCGATGAGAAAGAAACATCATTCGGTATGGTCTCTGTGCTTCTGACTGCGCAGCTGAAGCGGGTGAAGGAGGTGCTGACGACATGGAATGAAGTGGACAAACGTGTCTCCAAGCTTTGCCCCACTTCAAGTGCTACGGAGGACACCTCATCTGGCACTGCCTGCGGCGCTGTTAAGATCACGGATGGGCTGGTTGGCTTTTTGTCCGGCGACTTCTCTGATGGCACATGGAGGGACGAGTACCTCGGCATGAACGCCACAGTAAAGAGCGGTGCAGCAGCGGCCACAGGGCCTGTCGATGGCGTGACGTTCACGGGGCGTGGTGCAGGGGCGGTGTGGCTTGTTGGCGACATGGGGCAGACTGTGCCGTACTACTTTGCGAACTACAAATTCACTCTTGTGGCGACGGTGTCCATCCACGGTTTGCCAAAGGACGGAGATAACTCCATTCCATTGATGGGTGCGAAGGTGAATGATGGCGATAAGAATACTGTACTCCTGGGACTGTCGTACAACAGAGAAAAGAGGTGGGAATTGTTGCACAGTGGCGGAAAGACGTCGGAGCACAGCAGGACTTGGGAGAAAGATACAACG